TGTCAGTCTGTGACAAGGCATTGACCGACAAGGGAGAACAGAAAAGACCTCCTGCCATTGCTGAACAAGCTGCCCCATTAGCAGAAAATAGTCCAGGGTATTTCTTACATCATAAACACTACATTGGGCTGTGGTGGTTATGATCATTGAAGTAACCCTTTAAAGACACCTTGTCAGCCCATGACACTGCCAAGAGATTAGCTCACAAAACATGGATTGGGCTACGCATAAGCTGAACGGCTCCTTTTATTTTACAGAGCAGTTCTACTAATCTTGTGATGAGTGAACTACTTGGATAAATTAGGGGTAGACAACCTTCGGCTCTCCAGATGTTGTGGACTACACAATGCTTATTGTAAGCACCAATGGCAGGGGTGAACAAACCGTAGATCCTCAGAGGTTGCAGAACTCCAACTGCCATGATGCTTTACCAGCCTTCACAATGGCAAAGCATCATGGATGTTGCAGTCCTACATCTGGGAATCTACAGTTTGCCCACTCCTGGATTATGTCCCATAATGGAGATACATTAACCCCCAGCAGCCATGGTTTCAGGATTTCATCAATGGACACTTTAAAGTGGGGACTTTGCCAAATTCACAAAAACCCCCGATGGTGACATCGCCGCTGGGTGTCCAATGACTGGGAGGGGACAAGTAAGGGTGAGATTTACTTATCTGAATCTGTCCCTTGCGGCTGTGCCCATCTTTATCTAACTGGTCCTCTTCAGCGCAAGCGTAAGAGTACAGCATTGAGGTCTATGGAGGATCCCTGAAGTCAGACAGAGCCCATTCCCGTCACTGGTGGCGGCTGATGGGATTGACTCTTATACTCCGCTTTGTGTCAAAGAAAGTCAGGCAGAGAATAAATACATAGACAAAGCCTACTTTGTCTCTATAACTCTCGACTGAGTTGGAATTTCACTGAATAGAGTATTTCAAAAAGATTCTATCTTTATGAAATACGTCATTTTCAGGGGGAATGGAGGGAGGGGGGGAGGGGGGCGGGGATTAGGTGGTTTGACCATGTCGCATTCAAAGCTATTCCATTTGTGAAGAAGGAATGATTTACCAGTTAAGGTAATAAAGCCTTCTGCTGATATTATTGCCCTTGATGACAAGATCATACAGTATTTTTTGGCTATGAGCGCTGATTTGTCCTTTCCATTTCCATTCCAACTAACGCTCCATTTGCTGCCGTAGTCCCCCACTATGGATGACTAGAGATCACAAAACACTAGCCCCTCCTTGTTCACGCTATAGGTGGTTAAATGCAGTGTGAGGTTATTGCTAATGTCCTTCTCTGTCAACTTTTACTTTGCTGTGTCAATAATGTCAGGATAAAGGTATGACCTAACACACAGAACCAAGTTCTGATCTAGTCAAGTAGAGAGAGAGCAGGATGTTTTACTTGTCCCTTGAGTTTGCTGGGCTTAACACAATTCAGAGAATCAAGAAGCTATAAATTAGGTTAAAGGGACACTATAGTCACCCAGACCACTTCAGCTCAATGAACTGGTCTGGGTGCCAGGTCCCCCAGGTTTTAACCCTTCAGATGTAAACATAGCAGTTTCTCTGTTTACATTGCAGAGTTAATCCAGCCTCTAGTGGCTGTCTCCCTGACAGGCGCTTCTGTGACGCTGACTGCAAAAATTGCATCCAGCGTGCTGAACATGAGTGCTTTCCTATGGACTGTTTGAATGCGAGCGCGAGCTCTTGCCGCGCATGTGTATTCCGCTCCACTCGGGAGCTGACGTCGGAGTGGGAGGAGAGGTCACCAGCGCCGAGGGAGCCAGGCGCTGGATTAAGGTAAGTAGCTGAAGGGGTTTTAACCCCTTCAGCGCCAAGGGAGGAGGGCCCTGAGGGTGGGGGGTTCCTAAGGATGATATAGTGTCAGGAAAACAAGTTTGTTTTCCTGACACTATAGTGATCCTTTAAGGAAAAATCCATATATATATATAACTAGTCAAGGTCAGGGAAACCAGAAGAACACAGGTAAAATTGACCTAAAGAACAGTAAAATATATTCAATTTAGTAGAAATTCAACAACATAATATGCAGCAAATGCTGTTGGTTTGCTGTTGGTTTTGTTTCAAACCATACAGCTTAATGTAAGGGTTCTGGTTCTAAGAGACTGACCTGCAGCCGCTGATTTATAAACACTGTGTTTTCTGTGAATGCTCACAGAGATGCATTAACATGCCTCCCAACAGTCCCGGTTTTGGAGGGACATTCCTGATTTCAGGATTACGCCCGCCATCCCGCTTTAGTTCCCTGGTTTTCTAAATCCAGTGACACCAGTTAAAGGAACACTATAGTGTCAAGAATACAAACGTGCATTCCTGATAATATAGTTGAAAAAGTAGTGTTTAGGTGGCTGGCTGGCTCCCTTGCTAAAGGAGTAAAAGGTGATTTTACTTACCTTATTTTTAGCGCTTCATCAGTTTTGTCACAGCTGGCCCTACCCCTCTCCGCCTCCTTGGCTGAGATCACTAACATCATCAAATTTGATGATCTCACCCAATCCAATGCGTTCCCATAGGAAAGCATTGGGAGGCTATTTTGCATGCGTGGCAAAATGTCACACTGTGCCAATCAGCATCTTCTCATAGAGATGAATTGAATCAAGAATCTCTATGAGGAAAGTTCAGTGTCTGCATGGAGAGGGTGGAGACACTGAACGTAAGTGCTGCACACTGTGCAGCACTTTCCCAGGAAGCACCTCCAGAGGCTGTCTGAATGACTGCCGGTAGAGGTGTTACTAGGCAGCAATGTGAACAATGTCTTTTCTCTGAAGTGGCAGTGTTTAAATTAAAAAGGCGACAGGGACAGGCTAAAGACACCAGAACCACTACATTAAGCTGTAGTTGTTTTGGTGACTATAGTGTGCCTTTAACTGTCCTCAGGCAGCACAGTGTAACCCCTTTTTAGATGCATTTGTGCTGTGCTGAGGGCAGTAGACCATGAATCTGCAATGCTCCCTGCATTGTCGCAAAGGCAGTGGCCACATCGGTTGAGCTTAAAACCAGGCTGACAAGCCCATTCAGTGGACGGGCCCTCCCCTCTTTTCAAGACAGACCCAGCTATTATTGGCATCAACAGTAACTTGAGTCATGTTACTGGAGATGCCTCCCTCAAGACCTGCCCACCCCAATTGCATACCACCCACTGTTGGGAAGTATACTTTAATATAATACACATATATGAGGAGATGCTGATTGGTGCAGCAAGGTAAATGCCACCCATGCACATTACCCTCTAAACAAACTTTAATGTTAGAACTACATATTACAGAGTTTCCTTTTAGAGGGACACAATAGTCACCCAAGCAACTTCATCTCAGTGCAGTGGTCTGGTTGCAGTGTCCCAGTACCACTTAGTCCTGCAATGTAAATTACTGCATTTTTTAAGAAATTGCAATAATTACATTGCAGGATTAAGACTGCCTCTAGTGGCTGTCAGAGAAAATGAGGTCAATTAGGCAGCCACTAGAGACACTTCCTGGTTGCTCTGAGTATCCTAAGTGATGCCGGACGTCCTCACGCACTACATGAGGACATCCAGCATCAGTGAAATCCTCATATGAAAGCACTGAAGCAATGGTTTCCTATGGGGAGGGCCTAATACGCTCGCCGTGCATGAGCTTTAGTTCCCTGTCGGATGACATCAGAGAAGCTTGGAGCACCGACCCAGCACCGAGGGACATCGGCGCTGGAATCAGGTAAGTGACTAAGGGTCTTTTAACCATTTAGCTTCTGGCGGGGCGTGAGGGAGGGGGAACCAGAGCGCACTAAGGTGTTAGGAATACAGATTTGTATTTCTAACACTCTAGAATCCTATTCACTGGGTGTCTGCAGTTAATTGTATCACTTGCTAAATATGGATTAATATGGATATGGATTTTTTTAAAGCATTTTTTTAAAAGAGAACTGTCTCATCCCAGGATTGTTAACAGTAGGTTTACTATTCTCTATATTTCAAAAATGTGTTTGTGAGGTCTGAAAATTAATAAAATTAAATGTAGACATCTGTACTGTTGTACCTGGAACTCAGTGCCTCCATCTTGACGCTCTGTCAATCATGTTTTGAGTTTGGCCCTTTACACCAGTCGGTGAAAGAGAAGGAGAAAATGAAAGAATGGTCCCTAATTCTCTTCGTTCTGCGCAATGTGTGCGCTGGCCGAGCCTAGACTGAACTGGATTATAATGTCAATTGTTACAACTTTAATGATGGTTTAAAAGTAACACCGTCTCACATGAAGAAATGGTTAAACGAAGTTCTAGGTGATGTTCAGTGTTTTACTTTTCCAGACAAGTGACATTCCCCCTTAATTTTGACGAAAACATGCAACTTTAATCCAATCCACAAGATGGCAAACTTGTTAAAGGTTTCACGGCTTTCAAAACGTCTGCCTGGAATAAATTATACAATGTTCTTAATCCTTTGTGTGCCATCCTGAAAATATGAAACAGATTGTCTTGCCTTGTCGATGGTACGCAAACAGTGAAATAAACTTACATTTACAGATTTGTTTTCTCTTAAAGTTGTGTATATGTTAATTATCTAGTAATAAATCTGTATATACTCTGCTCACTCCACCCAGATAGTAGGTCTTTTGTAGCACACAATGAGGCAGCCGTCCAGAAGTATGCAACAGGGGATCTAGTTGGTGTCCTCTTGATTACTGATAAAATCAAGTTACCAATTGCATGGTGCAGTGCGTGACATGTGTAGACCTGGGCAGCCATCATGTTTCAAATTGACGTACAGTGGAGCCCTGGCTGCCTTCTTGTCCAATCACCAGATTCTATTTCATCTTGAGGTACTAAATAAGATTGGTCCCTTACAGGGTTATTCACTGAAGTGTCAATTATCAAGAATTTAAAGTGAATCCAGATTGAATTTCACATTTTAGGCCGAAATAGTTGAATAAAAAAAAAAAATACATGACTTGGAGATGTAGTGATAAAAAGACATATACAATTATAAACATGATTTTCTTCAAAATAATAACAAGCCAACCCAAGATCATGCAAAATGGCTACAAAGAGGGAGACTGGATGAGGGGATGGGGTACAATTTGGTCCTGAATTGGGATGTACTTGGGCAGACTTTGCACACCACTTGTTCACACTTATACCTCTTGATTTATACAGAGATTACACGGTTCTAAATTTCTTAGGTGTTTATCATGTCCAGATATGTAGACTGAAAGGGTCACTCCAGAAAGCAAAACCTCTCCAGCTTATTGAGGTGCATGTAGTGCTATGGTACAGTCCTTACACCAAGCTGACAAAATAGAGCTCTAACTGCTAACTCTTTTTAATTTAGTTTCCTCTCAGCAAACACTGCTGTAACCAAAGCGACCAATTATTTGCTGCCTTGCAAAAGGGATATTTAGAAGTCAAGTTTATAAGACAGTTATAAACTCTTGCCATCCCACACTATGTTCTGGGAGATTAATTGCTACTTTGTAGCTGCATTTTGTATCCTTGAAACAGTAGTCTTCTAAAACCTCAGAAACGGGTCATAATGATCCGTATCAATCACTATATGGCAGAATAATTGTGTACGATTAGTTGAGCATGTCAGTCTCACTGGACAAGACTGCTGGAGAAAATATGTTTTATAGCATGGCTGGTGACATTCAAGACACTACAGGACTTGGAAAATGACTCTCATTGACCTTTATGGTTATATTTCCATATATAAATACTGAAGAATCGTTGGAGTCTTTTTCTTTAAGCTGGCATGAACTTAAAGTTTCCCCGGGCAAAGAATGAGGAATCTCCAGGAACTCATTAACAAGACAGCTTGGTTTCTGGAGGAGATGATCATTATGAAAGTCAGAAGAACATGGAGGTACGTTTGTCCTCCACACGGTGGAAGGTGACAATCCAGGAAATTTCACAGGAATGTAATTTTCATCTTCGTGACCTGTCTCAGCAAACGAGGCAATGCTAAACATCGAGAAAGATCGAAGGTGGAACCTGTTCTCAAAATGGTTCACATTAGATCTGGATTTAAAGGATTGAACCCTTCTGATTTTTGACTTTATTTTTCCTGATCGCTCCATCAGAGATGTATCTTGCTGAACATTCATTTTCATTAATGTCTTTTTCTTTAGATTGACAAGGACTTTTCTGAATCTTTTGCTCAAAAGAGCATATAAAAGTGGATTAATGGATGAATTTAACAGTGCTAACCAGGCAGATATAGTTTGAATCTGTGGAGGGAGATCCCACTGCTTACTCTTGATAGTGATAGACTGTGATATGCTGACAATTATATATGGTACCCAACAACAAAAGAAAATTAAAATAACAATGAATAATCTGAATGTTCCATTGTGCTCTCGTCCTGGGGTATCATATACTGCAAAAATGTCCTGCTTCCCACCTGGAGAAACACCTGGAATGGGTAAAAGGAATTTATCCATGCTGTCTTGGACTCTTTTGGGGCGAGGTTCGACCTTCTCTGAATTGACTGGAGATATTTTGCTGTCTTGTCCAAGAAATTCAGCATTTGCTTTCACATTCTTCTCTAGCTGACATTCAACATTATGTATCCGTCTGGCGTGGTCTCTTGCTACCTGTACGATACGGATGTAACAGAAGATCATGGTACATGATGGCACCAAAAAAGAGCAGGACATTATGAATCCAGTGTAGCTGGGGCTGTGGGCCCAGTTAACAGAGCAGCTAAATGTTGCAGGTAAATACTCAAAATGCCCCCATCCTACAAAAGGTGGGAAACCGGAAAATATTGCCTGTGTCCATATCCATACGACGGTGCCAACAGCTCTTCTCGTTGTAGACTGGGCGTTATACTGGAAGCAGTTGACAATTGCACGATATCTATCCATAGCGATGGCAGCTAAGGTCAACACGGACGATGTGCAGTACACCACAAATGCAGATCCCATGTACATACATAAATACTGAAAAGATTAAGAAAAGACAAAAAGAAAAAAAAAGTAAGAAAAACAAATAATCCATTTACAATGAATACTATGACGAGTGTAAGAAATTAAATAGCGAAAGTGCTAATTTGCTTATTTTATTTACAGTTGTTTTTACAGTTAGAGGAGGAGGTCTGTTATATAATTAATTAACGGACTTATGCACGTGGAAATGTTTGGTTTGGCCAAATCTATTTGTCAAAAAAAAATAAAAATATATTTTGGCTAGTCAGATAGTTTTCCATGTAGCAGTTTGGTTCGTTCCAATATCGTCCATACAAAAATATTCAGGAAAACAATTTAGATGAACATGGGCCAGACTGTAAAGCAAAAACTAAATGTTAAGTATATATTCTGCAGTACACTGATAGGCGCATTATCGCACCATTTGGTTCACAGATCAAGTGAAAAAATAACCAATACAGAGAAAAGGATGAAGAGCAGTAAAAAAGTCTATATTTACATTATATATTTATCCCATTTTTACAGCCCCTCCTTTTTTTCCCTTTATTGGTCCCTTCTATTGATCTGTGAATAAAATCAACATTTACTGGCTGTCCCCTAGCCATCAATCATGTCTTTCTTTGGTGCCACGGGCAGAACTCCGAATCACGAATAAAACAAAGAAGCAAATCCAGTGCTTGTTCGGTTATACACCCTTATGTTGTTGTAGAACTCACACAACCACCTCCCCCCCCCCATTTGACCTAAATTCAGATGAATTGCAATTTGTCTGAAAATGAATCCACAAGTCTAATTAACATTTACTTTCAACCTGGGCCTTTGCAGTATACGGATATACTAGGCAATGGATTCAGTTGGCGTAAAGACATTCATTTTAGTGAACAAAATAATTATTTTCAAAGAAAAACATCCTGAGAAAATGACTGTTTCCTTAAAGGAACACTAACGTAGCAAATTTTTTAAAATCACTATTTAATAGATATACCCAAAACAACAACATGCATGCATTTATTAATGTACTTTTTTCATTGGGGTTACATCTAAAAACAGCTTCTCTTGTCTGCAGCCATTGCACGCCCTCCACTTTTCCCCAACCCAGAATAATGTAAAGAGCACATTGAGAACAGGGACAGGCACGCTAGCTAGCTCTCAAATTGATAGGCACGGAGATATTTCTGACCCCAATAATAAATGTGTCAATTTCTATTACAATGGGCGCTTTTATAAACAGTCATAAATGTGACAGGCTCCACACACATAAAGCATTCAGCAAGCTGAAGTGCTGTATGTGTGTGGAGTGTTCCTTTAGAATTTTTTTTACATTGTCTGTTATCACTCGGGTTTTTAGTGCTGCAATGTGTTAACTAGAGCCAAATGCAGTTTTTCTCTGTTCACCCACACATATGATGTTTCTTTCCGACCTTCTTCTGATATGCTAGAAATACATAGGGTAAGTAATTAGATTTGCGGGGAAGCTGGCTTTTCTTTGCAATTTGAAAACCGTGATGATTAAAACACTATCGCACAGCTCTCCTTCCCATTTTTGTTGTTCCATTACTATTGTAGTGAGAAACTAATTAATTAAATATATACATTGATAGGAGACTTTCTAAAATTACAGTCAAGTAATTGTCAATAATTTAGAGTTACAACCTCATTAACCCTTGATTGCAAGCAATCAGAAAACAGACTATCATATGGAATACTATACGCAGAATTCCTGCAAAACCCATATACAAGTCTGATTTATAATTACCCCAAAATATCGATCAACACAGAGCTATAAAAATATAATATAAAGGTGCTGGGCCGGGCCGCCATGCTGACCGGTCGCATGCAGGAGAAGCTCAGGAGGTATCCGGCCTCTTAAGCCATATTTAGCCGCTTTTTGCACTCGTACAGAGCCTGAGAGATAGAGAGGTAGCGGACCCCGTGATTATGAGTTTCACACCCCCTGTGGGAAGCATAAGACTTCAGAGGCTGCAACCTACTTGGGGGGGGGTGGAGCGGGGTGGACGGCAGCTGCCTTGTCTCCCTCCCCTGCTACCACATGCCGGCTTACTGAACGCTTGCCGGACCCGTTTCTGCCCTCCCACCCCCCTCTGGGCCAGGGGGGTCATCCCGGTCCCCACTGAAGAGAACTCAAGCTGTGGAGACACTTAAGGGCACTGACCATCTAAGGCCATCTAAGGCCTACCTTTTAAGATGGCGGTGGCTCGGAGCACCTTACCAACTGATTTTACGATACAGAGCCACACTATATGCCAGTGAACCATAAAGCGAGTCCAGCAACCACTTCTGACTCCAGTTGAGGAGAGAATGAGACCGAGAGAGCCAATGGACCATCTGCCCAGAACAGACGCCCCCTTGGCGGGGATGAGAAATGGAGGGAAACTATGAGCCCATGCTGCAACGCAGAACCTCCAAGCGGACTTACCAAACATGTACCACGCTTGCCAAGCGTTTGCGTCGACTGAACACCAAGCACGGAAAGGGAAGCTTTGTCACTACCTGAAGGAGCACTAGTGACACCTGTAAAAGCCTGTGGTTCCTCATCATCTTGCATCATGCCAAACTGCTATATTAACCCGCCACAGACTGTAAGCTCCACGTGACATCACCTAGTCACTCTACACAAGCACAGAGACATTCACAGCCCAACACAAATCGGGCTTTACAAGAGACAGTAGCCCCAGCTCAAAACATGCCACCTAAAAACTAACCCTCTTGGACACAAATTGTAGCCATTCTTTTTCCCTAACCACTTCTCTCTGCTAGATCTCTCACGGACACATGTTTTATCACGGTCTGCTCGGCTTCAGTGGTTTTCATTTTAAGCCTGTTTTTCCTAGACAGCGTGTTATATTATTTGTATTTTCTCTACACTTGCATTCTTATAATATACTTATCTTGGAGACATAATATACTTATCTTGGAGACATAACAGTAATGGTAAGCCTGATCAAAAAACAAAATGTGCGAAGTAACATGCCATTGTTTAGCCTGTTTGTTCATGTGTACACTGTTGTGGCATTAGACAATGCTATGTCCTCATCTGCACAACAAACATAAAAATTAATAAAAAAGATAAAAAAATTATATAAAATACAATACAGTAATAACTGTAAACAAATAACATATATAATAACACAAAGAACATGAGTAGTGATACATGTTACCAAGTGATACAGGACACATATTGCATCTACTAGAACATTTATAAACATAAATACACGTGTATATATTTAAACATGGAGAAAATACGGTGTTCTACCTTCACATTTCACCATTTAAAAAACAAAAAAAATCACTTTTGTAACTAATTAACCTTTTTATTGTGTCCGTAACAATAGCAGTACTTATAACTTTCATAAAATAACCAAAACAACAATATAATATTGGTAACATTATATATATCTCTGAATATGAAATAATACCGTAAACTAAATAATGAAATGCACCGTGTGCATATAACCGAGAAACACAAGGTGTTTTAGCTTTCGTACCTGGTGGTTTAACCATTTGTGATTCACGACTGAGCTAAGGACCAGTGGCATCACTCCAATGCCCACAAGGAAGTCGCTCACCGCCAAGTTAATGAGAAATATTGATGTATTAGAGTGGAAATGCTTGGTTGCCGCGATAATGATAATAACAAGCAAATTACCTGCAACAAAATGATATAGTTAAGTTTAGAATAAAGTGTAGAGCAACATGCAGGTATCAAGTGATCATGTATCCAATTTCTTAAAAGGAAAGCAATAGTTAACACAATTGATCTATATTTGTAATGTATTATACAGATAATAAGTTAAAATGAACAATAAATTGATTTTTAAAATTTTTTTTTTAAACAAACCCAGATATGGTCCTAAAGCTGTACAACTGAGAGAGGCTGACTACAGCTATGGGTAGACTCCATCCTAGACAAGAACAGACTCCACCAATCAGAAGTATTTACTGTGGTCCACAGGGAGCGTTCTTACCATGTAAGCCCCTGCACAACAGGGTTTACGGGATATGTAGTTTATGTCCCAGTCACAGTTCCACTCATGACACAAATTGATAGTATACATAGAGTAGCTTTTATCAGTTTATTTCGTTTTGGGATCTAGAGTATGTGTAGTAATTTACAGAACTGCCAAACATGCATGAGGTTGTAGCTCTGGCTTTTTTCATATTTTGGGGGTGAGGGACCCTTGCAAAATGTACATGCAATGTGTGCATCTCATATGCACAAGTTTAATAGATTGATATAAAAAAACTGGAAAAACAGTGATTGATAGCCTGTGGGGCTAAATTTACATAACTCATAAACTAGACAGAAACATTTAATTACTTGCCTCAGATTGTCCTTAGCAGAATGCATATTTATAATGTATCCTATCTCTTTATACCGCCAGGACCATTCAGGTACCAGGAAATCCCATTGGCAATTCTTATTATGTCTCGTTCAGATCACATTTAGTGACTATTTCATTTAATTATTGTGCTCAAACAATTTGTTCAGTCACTTATAGCTAAGCATGTGCATTGTTTATGGAGTCATACTGAAAAAAACAATATTTTGTGAGCTAATGAAATGATTGATCATCCACTGGTGCAAGATGAATTTTACAAACTGCACCTTCTTTGAAAACCCTCATCAACTCTTTAACCCTCATTCATAAAACCTGCTTCAGTATATCTATAATATTAATGCATCACACACTAAAACTCATTTCACTACCTCGCAGATTGTTCCACAGTCAGTCTGTTACATTCAACTACAACGCTCTATCTTCATACACGTTTTCCATCTCATCAAATTTCAAACGTACAAACCTTCCCATCTCCTGTTAAAAGCTCATACGCACATTAATCCTCATACACCTATAACATTTTACATACGCCTCCCAAACCCTTATATATCCACCCAACAGCCAGGTGCATCCCCAGAAAACATTACAGAGGGAGCAAATATATTATTTTATGTACAGTCATTGACATAGTCATCATTTAATTCAAAAGAGGCACAATTTGCAAGGAGAGCACTGCACACTCTTGCCCTATGCTACAGACACCCATGCAAACATCCTGCCACCCCACAAAGACATCTGACCTCTCAACTTAATTTTTGTGAAAAAATAACCGGATTCCATCCAAAGTAAGGTTATCATGAAGTAGAGAGGATGATAATATAGCTTGTTTAGTATCACAGGATTTCATACTTGTCCTGATCTGGCTTTGAGCAAAGCTACTTAACTTCTCAAATTAATTTTCCATAATGAACACGTGTTTATAACTTGATATGGCCTGCTGGAGGAACCTTTAATGCACCCTATAATTTCCTGAACTAAATCTATTTCTAGATCTAATTACCTAACCACGCATAAAATTACTGTTAAAGGACACTTACCCATCACAGCTGTAATGCACATAACTATCATGATGAATCCCAGAATTCCATTTGACAGAGAGCCCAGGTCATAGATCACATTCACCGAACTTACGTTCATGGAGCTGAATGCTGGGAGTGGGAACTGTGAAAATTGAGATACATTTCCCCAGTGAGATGGGGTTGAAGACATTCCGCAGTGTTATTTTCTCCCTTGGAACAGAAATCCTCAATTTGACTCCTTTAATTTTCAGCTAAAACAGATCTGATCTGGTCGCTGGATACCCATTTACTGGTTGATGGAGGTGTAAGGTCAGTATCAATTGTTGTCCATCTTTCAGCTGTGTTTGTTAATATTTTGTGCGGATTTTTAGGCCAATATATAGAACATCAAAGGTTTCCTTATAGGCCTTAGATTTAGATGTGCATTTAAAAAAATGTTAGATTGTGGATTAGACGAGGCAAAATGAAAACGATTTTACTGATAACACCACAGCAACTAATAACCATTGCTGTGTTTGTTGTCAGATAATCCTTCCGAAGATGACCCATGGGGTAGTGGAAATGTCTGCGAGACTCACGGGGTGGAAAACAACCCTGTCAGTGCTTTAATAGGATAAACAGTGGAAGTAAAGAAAAGATAAATGGAGAGCCATGGAAACCTGCATTGCATTGACGACACAATGTTCTTTAGTGCTGACAAGCCATGTCGTAGAGACACACACATGGTAACGTGCGACATTCATTGCTTTGAATCAAAGTATAAAGGTGAAGCTGATGGCTTCTTACAAATGCTTATTAGCAGCACACAAACTTCTCCTTGATGGCTAGACTCATTAATCGAGCAGCACAGCTGTGATTATATATATGCAAACACAATTTAACAGTTTTCATTCTGAACGTCTTTTCAGCACATTAACCCTCTCACTGCATTCTTCACAGATCTACTCTGCCCAGTACTGAAAGCGTTTATTAAGGACGTTTTCTAAAGAAAGAAAGTTATTGCAGGGAAGGTGTTGTAGGCAGGACTGAACAAGTGTTACATTTTATTTTAGTAAGAATCTAAAGGACGGTCCCAACTGACCCACTTCAGACAAAACTGTTTCGGTAACAGAATTATTTTTCTGACTTTTCTGTTAATTCCTTACCTCCCCTATATCCCTAACTATACTTAGGCTTGCCTAACATTGATTAGTGTTTCTGTTACACTTGTGCAAAGTGAGAAAATTGGGTTCACCAAAATAAGTTTTTTTATGAAAATAGAAAATATTTCAGGACACCCAAGTGTTTATTTTGCAGTACACTGATAGGAGCATTTTTCCACCATTTGATTCACAGATCAAGTGAGAAAAACAGAAGGAGCCGTCAAAAAATAAATCAACATTTAGTTACTGTCCACTAACCATCGGTCATCCCCCCCCAAGCCAAACATGTTCTGAGTTGTGTGGTTCAGCTGGTCCGTGCTCCAGAGTTTAGTGGGTCATCTGACTGGCTCAAATTCAACCAACTATGGTGCGCCATCCATGCTACTATATAAAATAGAGAGAAGCCATCACTTTGCCGCTATAATGTGGAGAATATGAATCTCCTGTATTTGAGCGTCAAGGCGAGTTTTCATAAGGTCATAATAATGTAAGACTTTGTATGTTGTCCTTTTTTGCTTGATTTCATTGTTGTGTACTTTAGACTCAGCGGAATAGATTTTTTGATAATTTTTAAAAAGGTTTTAGATTTTAACTAATTCAATAGTTTGTGCTTGTGATTCGATGATGATGTAATAACCTACTTTTTTACAATTATTAATTTTTTTTAGTCATGGAGGTTTGTTTATTTTTTTGCGTAGGCAAAGTAGGCATTGTTTCACTACGCTGGATTCATTAAATTAAAAGCATTTACAGAAATTACACATTTAAACAACTAAAATGAGTACAAAGGAAATGTCTACAAGGACCTGCTGCCAAATTGTGGTAGATTCTTATTTTAAATGCATCATAATGACATTACATTTTTACATTATTATATTTCATTAAGCTGGTGTCATTGCAGTTCTTTTGTGTTCTATAATGTGCACCCTCCTACCCCCAAATTGATTGGGATTGACCAGTAACTACTAGAGGCTAGAGCAGAACCACCTAAAATTTTACCTATCATATGATTTGAAACATACACCTGATTAGGAATATACGTTTAGTTGCAATGTGCTACTTAATAATGATTTTTTTCCCTCTTAAGTGACAAGGAAAATTACAGTCTGTAGTCCTCCAAAATGCATTACTGACCTCTATGTGACTAAAGGAGTTAGTTGCGCAGAGAGTACTTGCTGGCATTTCGGATCTGGACTGCCCGTATGGGTGGGACCAGTCTGATATGCTTCAGATATGTTCTCTCTGTAATGGCACAAGATGAGCTAAAACCAGCTTGAGTTCTGAGCGGGGACCCACCGAAGGGCAGGCTATTTTAGCTTCTGTCTGTTCTCAGAATACTCTTGCGACCCATTTTTGCTCTCTAAAGGAGTTAAAAGTTGCAAAGGAAAAAAGGAAAGATGGAGGAACAACGGGGAAATTAAATATCACTCAGTAAATGAACCTTACAAGAAAACGGAATGTACAGCAGTTTGCAACAAACTGGTCATTTTTCTTAAAGCTCATTAAACAAAAATTGCTTTTGCCATGGTAACCACAGAAAGTGTGGTACATATTTAACCCCTGGGAGAAGTAGGGATCATGTAATTATTGTCTTTAATTCAGTTGCGTTCTGAGCGGTAACTAGACGTGTCACGTTTATAGCTTAAGGCTGCCTCTTGCGATAAAAGCCAGTTTACATTTACCTAATGTGTAGATGCCCTTCAACTGTTTCTAGTGCCCATTGCATTACGTCTTTCTCCAGCCTGGCATTCAAAGGGTACTGCAAATGAGAGGAGAGTTTGGGGACAATTAAAAAAAAATAAACAAAATTATAGACTCAGTACAGATGATAATTTTAAAATAGTAAAACTGATTCACTTTTAAAATATAGTTAAAATCTCCTAGCAATAAACCAAATTTAAATGCAACGATTCAGTGAAGTAAATGAAGTTGCAGCAAATGCCTGTCTGTTGGGAGCACAATGAGAGTGATTTCTAGAAGAAAGCAAAGAGGCAATTTTTTTTATTATTTTTGTTTATTTTGGGTTTAGTTTGTGAATTTATTTAACACTCGATCTGTTATTGTTTGAAAAAAACAAGAGTATTTGTTAAATGATTAAATGAATAATGGATTAAAGGAACACTTTGTCTCCAGACAACATAATAACTTAATCTCAATTAAGACATTGTGGTGCCTAGAGGTCATGGTACCTTCTTACTGTAAGGGGTTAAATGGTTTATAAACAAGCTAACCCCAAAGTGCTCCTGACGGCTCCCTTCTTCCTGGCCCCAGGCTTCAATGATAAAGCCTTTTCCTGGCTTCCCATTGAGAAAAATGTATTTACGTTTCTAAAGCATTTTTCTCAATGGGAGGCTAGTGATCACAATCGCTAGTGATAGGCTTTTTCACTGAAGCCGGGGGCCAGGATGGACAATGTTGGGAGAACATATGTGTGCATGAAGGTATGTGTATATATACAAAACATACTCCATCCCAAATTCCAAAACCCTTTACAAATATGACTGTTTAATAATCCATTGAGCAATTCTGTTAGACATGGGCATGTGAAACAAAGAGGTGCACACCGTGGAATGCAGGCCCAATTGCACTCCTCCTTCTATTGAAACGCTGATAAACTTTCCCATCGTAACTAAAGACCAAACTATATCAAGCATTTAGGGTGGATAGGTTAGAAACTGTACCCCCAAAAATAAACAAACTATTTATTTTTAATAATTGGTAGTCTTTCAGTTATTTCTTGAACTCTGAAAGAAAATATGAACAAGATTTCTGTGTACGAACTCATTAAACTGTATAATAAATACTAGTTTCTTCTTCAAACTCCAGTTCTTTCCTCATTACTGGATTCCAATAAATTTAGAGATTCAGCTTGGTCCAAATTGAAATTTGTATAATTTCGACCAATTCAATGCCCTTTTGTATTTAAGAATTTTTAAATGAACTTTGATCGAAATGCTTCATAACTGAAGAATTTTGAAAATCTGCACAGTATCACTTTGAAAGACCAAAAAATTATTTTACGTGTTTACTATACTATGCCCTAACTGGCCCAAGAGTCAACTGGACTACAATGTCAATTGCTAAAACCTTGAAACATATGGTGCCTGGTATTAAAAATGGTTAACGCAAGTTATTGGTGACTTCCAGTTTTTTATTCAATGGTGTAATTTACATGTAATTTATCGTATGTTTCCCTTTATAATTACTATACAATATTTCTTTGTGGGAGAATTCAGGATTTGTTTCATAATCCTGAGCACGCAAAATCGTCATGTTTTGTTACAAATTAAAATTCTTCAATTGTTTTAATCCTTCACTGATCATTCTTCAAGTCATAAATTAGCTTTTTTTTTTTTTTTTTACCTAGAGCATTTGCGCCAACCATAGCTTTAAAAATCAGCACCAATTAAACGATATATGAATATAACATCCCTAGTAAGTCACCTGATATTAATTATAATTATGTCCATAAGTCAACGAGTGAGAGAGGATCAGACATTTTTACATTTACCAACTTGGCCCTATTCCTAAGAACAGTTGTACTCACACGTGAATAACACAAAACTAAACAGTTTAGTGGGCTGTTTCCTTTCAAAATATTGGCTAATTTATAAATGGTGAGTTACAGTTAACTGTTGGGAAGCAGGTAGATCATAAATACATTTCAACCACACTAGAGAAACAATGAGATTACACATACACCTACCTCCTCCAATTATCGTAAAAGCAACAATTACAAGTTGTACTCCTACAGCTGCCCTGCCGAGAAAATGATAGAAAATGTTCCATTAGCTTAATAAAGAGTGTGATAAAGCAAAAGGAACATTTTATCACTAATAGCTCCTACGGCGTGCTACAAACATACAGAGTTTGAAGGGTAACAATTAAACTTCCCCACAATTAACCCATATGATGTTTAAACCATTTACCTGATGAGAAAATGAAAGAGAGTCACGTTTAAAATTTGACATTGTTTCCTCGGGCGCTTTTCTTACGAGAAGCAAAAATAAATAATTAACGGAATAGAAAAACAAGGAACGCGAGAGAA